TGTTATAAACATGTTGAGATACAGAATTCAAGATGATTGTGCATGGTGTCTTCAACAGTATAGTAATCACGATTAGATCTTTTTCCTATCCTAATTGCAAAAAGGGTCATTTTAATTGGAGTTACCTCTTGAAAGGCTATATTAAAAGTTCTTTTAAAGACCTGTAGCTAGATAGGACACATCTATTATTTTTAATAGGATGGTATTCTTGCGTGTTTGCATGTTTTAAACTTAGCGGTAAAATTGAAGAAAAATACTTTTTAAATGTTTTAAATCCAATATACTTGTAATAATTAGGCAAACTCAAAACTTTCTCTTCTTCCAGATAAAGCTTCACCAAGAAGGTTGCCCAGGAAACGGGCACAGAAGAGATCAGTGGGATCTGATGAGTAAATGTTCCTTTGTGCAACAATTTCAGTCTTTGCTTAACCTGCCCTATTGTTTTTCGGCCTGATGGGAATTAGTGCAGAGAAGCCATATCACCATAGAAGGCAACTACTACTTATGTGTGGACTGAGAAATCAGAGTCTGTGGCGATAATATTGCTGAAAATGCACTGCATTCATTTTTCTAAAGTAACAAATCTGGTTTTTTTTAAAACCATTAAAATCTGTGTGTGCGTGTGTATGTATGTGAGCAGTTGGTTTTACCAGAATCATTGTTGAACTACCTGAAACAAGCCTTTAGAATACTAAATATTATGCTTTTGTCTCTTCCTTTTTGACATTTTCTGATTTTCCCCACCAAAACTCAGTGAATATTTGCCCGATATGATTGTTGATGTGTCCTGCCTTGAATAGTTTTAAAGGGAATAATTTGTTTCTTTCTCGGAATAGCTCAAATTTCAATTGATGGCACAAATTAGCATTTTGGTGGTGGTGGTGTATAACAACTAGTATTCTAAAGGCACAAGCAGGATTAGCTGCTTTTTAGCAATAGAATTGTTTTGGTATTTTGCTGCTGTTTACTATAATGCATACCTTCAGAAAACTTCCCAAATGGATTCAAGGAATTTTGGAATCTCTCTAGCAACAAAATTGTGAAACATGAAAATTCTGCTGACTTTCATATATAAAACCTAACCCTAACCCTTTTTAACAAAAAGAAAAATAGTACATTTGTGTAAACTGGGTTGTGTTGTCCGTTGTTACTGTACTTCTGACGGAGAAATAGCTCTGGAATGATTTTAGACCTACTCAGTTTTTTTTAAAGAAATAATTTTTCTCTCCTTAATAGATGCATCCCTTCTTAAGAAAAGTTGCCTTGGTCTACAGATTAAGCAGAAAATTAAATTGTAGGGACAGAGATTAATCCTAGTCTTAAAAAAAATGAGTTGGATATTTTTAAAGCTGTTAACCAATCTAAACA